TTTTTCGGTTTCTTCTTTTTCAACAGAATTTGTTAAAACTGGCAAATAAAAAAATCATTTATAATTTCAGTAATAAGACGTGTTGAGTTGAAGTTCCTTTTTTTCTATTTTTTTATTTTTCGCTTTATTTGGACTACTCTGTATAAACAAATCGACTCACCGGGCCATCATCCAACAGCTAAATGCTTCTTGGCAAGGTTTCAAATAGCTAAAAAAACCGCAAAGACCGTCTTATGCTTCAGTTCCTGCTTTTCGCCTAATCGGCTGTCTGCTGTCGAAATCGGGATCATTTTTTCTTCATTAAATAATTCGTGAATTTATTTGTATAGGTAATAATTGCTTATTTGTGCTCGCGAACACCCTCAATATGTGCTGGTGCAGGGAACGTAGCCAGGGGGAAGGTAGGTCGGTTGCTGATCGTACGTCAAGTAGTGTACCCACTTCCTCTAACAGTGTTAAACAACGGTATTAATTTACTGAGCTGTAAACTCCCTGTGCTGTAGTTTCAGAGCAAGAAAGTGTTTGGTTAGTTTACAAAAAAATGAGCACTTTGGCCGTTGCTGGGTGCGTATGGTATTGTTATAGACGACGAGCCATATTCGGGGTTTTTTCTTTAGATTTTTATTAGAATTTCTTTTACTACCTTTCAGAGACAAATGTGGTTTTTAAAGAATGAATGAAGGAACTTTTCCGGTTTTTTCGAAGATGTTAAGTATGCACTAATAAACTGTAAAAGTTCTAGTCTTGGGCGGAGAGTTTCTAGGAGATAATGCGGTGGGGAAATATACATCAGATTGTTTCTATTTTGTTGTCACTTAAAGAAGTTGGGGGAAAAACAGCGAAATTCAGTGGCTGAAGTAACCGTAGGATATCTGTATAAATTGTAAAAAACTTTACAGGGTTACGAAAAGGAGAAATGACGCATTATTGAATTACCTTCTTTCAGATAAAGGTCGAAAAGTATCGTAGAACACCGCTAAGTTTGGTTGGCGTTATACGTGCATTTTCACTAAATGCAAAAGTACCCAAAAATTAAAAACTAAAAAGGGACTCCAACTGGACTGAAGCTTTAGGTGACATCAGCGGTCTGAACAGAACTCATAGCAAGACGGAGAGAAAATTTTTTGTCAAGACTTGTGATCTTTCCAGTCCGCTTTGTAGGTGAGCTTATGAGTCTTCATCACACTGTGGGTAATTTTAAAAAATCCACAAATCTTAAAGTTATGAGCCAGTAAATATCAAGCTGTGAAAAGTCGTTGTTATTAAACTGCAGTTGTCAAATGAACGCCTAACTGATTACTGATATCATATCTCTACTGGTGTTTGTGCACAATGAATTTATGAATATCCGCAGCTGAAACATTACTCAATTCTTCATTAACAAACAAATAATATCTTTTTTTTTATTGGAGAAATAATATATAATTTTTATCTGTTTAAATCTTAATTTTTGTTAATGTGGATACTTCCTTCTTACCTGCTAAAACTTAAAAGCTGCTACTGTATAAAATGCAGTAAAATGCTACTCTTAATCAACAATGATGGAAGTTGCGAAATTTGAATAAAAAGAAATCTTAGTTTCTGTTATCAAAACAAAGGCATTCTCTAGTTAGTCATTTTAAATTGCTGCTTGCCAAATTGATTACTATAAACTCTGATCCTTTTTTTCAGTAGCCTTCTAAAACTTATATAACCAAACAGCAGGCTAGGAAAGTTTTGAGCTTACTGAAAAAAATATTTGGATTCTTTTACATATAGTGCTAAAAGGGGTGTTTTAAGTGGTAAGGTCTAGAACTG